GGAGGCAGTGAAGGACAGGAAGGCCTGGCGCGATATGGTTCATGGGGTCACGAAGAGTCAGCCATGACTTAACGACTGAACAACAAATTTTGTTATTATTACAGCAAATTATGCCAAAAGACAAAAGAATATTGTCACAATAAAAGAAGACTCACAAATAGCATGGCCAGTTTTGCCTATAATAATTCTGAATGGTTCTATCTTTTGATTCTATATCTAGGGATAAATTATGGCAGAAAATGGAGAATTTGCCTATTGACAAAACAAAAACAAACCTTTCTGCTTCATCTTAGGGCCCTGTATAGCAGTAGCCTCCTTCAAATAAGACGTGGCAGTACAGGACAGCTGACTGAAGATATCCCCATGTTGAGGGAGGTTGGACAAGGACTACTCTAGCACCAACTTTACTCAACATGTATTTGAATGATCTTGAAAGTATCTTAAATGACCTGTAGGACATTTGCAGAATTTGATGAGAGGGAGATCTGCTCTGATGTATACTGATGATATTGTGATCCTCTCTTTCTCTAGACCTGGACTTAAGTATTTGATATCCATGTTTTACTCAATTGCAATAGCAATTCATTCCACATCAATTGAGCTAAATCAAAAAGTTAGTTTTTGAGAATAATTATGGAAGAGGTTGAAAGCGTTTTGTATTAGGTGTTTTGTCACCACTTCTCGTGGTCTACCCATATAAATTATGCTTCCTAGAAACTTTCAGTTACATAAACTGTTCTTCTATTATACTGAGTGGGCCAGGCAGCGGTGTTTGAGTCAGATAGCTGAGTCTGGAGAGCAAGTTCCTTTTTTCTGCAGTTTTTACACTGGAGCCTGCCCAGAACTGATTTTGTCTATAGTGATTATACTGCTAAGCAGATCAACTCAATTTTATTTTCCAATATTTATTGGAAGATAAAATTCCAGGGTGATCATTCTAGCTCCTAAACTTCTGTCAGTGGCTGTTAGGCTGAGGAAGCAGCTTGATGGTAGAAGGACCATCTTATTGTAGGCTAAGGGCCACTGCCAATCAATCAGTCATTTTATTTCAGTCATTGACCAGCAAACTTTGGGCCGCTGTTGTATAGTATTTATGGACTATATTGTTGGTCTGTGTACCCATATCTTTTGTTTATTTACTGTATAAAACACTTCACCTACCACCAAATTGTGATGCCTTATTCTGCTCATGTCCAACTAATGGCACACACTTTTTCTGTCTGGGCCATAAGTGGCCATTCCATATGTTTGCTGAATGTGAGAAGCTGCCTATAATGTACTATGTGTTTCTGTCTAAGTTTTGTTTCTACAGAAGAATGAAATCTGTGTGGTTTGATGTTTCGCCTGCATTGCATCATGGATTTGAAAAGATTTGGAAAACAGTACATAGAGGGGTTCTATGTCTATATGCTACGATATATCTTTGTTTATAGTTGTAATATTGTTATGTCACTAACATACATACTTATTGAATCTCAACACAAAACCAATCAAAGACTTATTGCTTGTGGCATGCATTTTTATTTGAATATATAAGGTGAATACATCAAAACACAGCATTTGTTTCTAAAAAGTCAGCAAGGTTTTAAAGCCATTAGATGTAAAATTTTGCAAATCATTAGAATACTTTCTCTGGGGTGTAATCTTTATTGAAGTAAGTTGTGCTGATTGATGACTGCAATAAAGTTATTGTTGTATATTAAAGTAAGCATTTTAAGTACTAGAGATTTTAACTGGCTTAAAAATCTTCCCTTATACACATCTACTTAGGAAGAAGTTTCAAATAATTCCACCATTTCCAGTTTGATGTAGTAGTTAACGCATCAGGCTAGAAACTGGGAGACTATGTGTTCTAGCCTCGCCTTAGGTACAAAGCCATCTGGGTGACTTTGGGCCAGTCACTCTCTCTCAGCCCTAGGAAGAAGGCAATGGCAAACCACTTCTGAACTCTTGTCAAGAAAATTGCAGGGATTATTCCAGTCAGTTGCCAGGAATCAAGACTGACTCAAAGGCATCCAAAAAAAAAAAAAGTTTCAGACTCTACAAGAACTGTAGTAGTCTGTCAGTTAAATCATTTGGACTTCAAATGCTTAGTATTTGCTGAATTGAGCCACCGGTTTTCTAGCTGATCTTTGTTTCATTAACACAGGTAGAAAGGGGAAATATTTGCATTGTAACAATCACAAATTATATTTGGAAACGATAGATATTCCAGTATGACGAATAATCCAATCAAAATAAAGTGCCACTTTTGTATAAACACCAGGATGCCCCTTTTCTCCACAGTTTTCACCCCAGCTCACAACACCCCAAAGATATCCCACATTATTAAGGTCATAACAAACCAAAGGTCCTCCTGAATCACCTTTACAGGAATCTACAGAACCATCATGGGTACCTGAAATAAGAAAAACAAAGGTAGTTGCCTATGAAAATTCTTCATTTACATTTTTAATCAGAAGTTCACACGTATATTTGCTGGTCAATGACTGAATAAACATTTCTACTACTACTACACATGTATATTACTTGTACACTATGACTTTTAGTCTAAAATATTTGTAATTTATGAAGTTAAGCTATTGTTATAACTCATTCGTTTATTTTATTTTATTATTGTTTGTGTTTTACATCTTGTCTTTCCTCCAGGAGTTCAAGGCATATATGTAGGATTCCTTGTTCCAGTTTTTACCAAAAACAACCATCCTGTGAAGTACTGAGAGATCGTGATTGAACTGATAACGATTGACTCAAAGTCAGTCAGTAAGCTTCCATGGCTAAGGTAAACTTGAACTTGGATCTCCCACATCCTTAATTCAGTATTTCAACCTCTATGCTATACTGGCTTTTAATATTGAATTAAAACAATATCAGTCTGGAAGAAAACCCAAAGTGCATAAAAACTAGAGAGCCCACAGCTGAGTGGATGCTGCAGTAGTATCTCACGTGAAATTGTTGTTTCCTCCCAAGAAGAAAGCATAATGTTTAAACTACCTGTCCATCATTGGTTTGTGATGGCTGGAACAGAACGCATTCTACATTGGGGTGATATATTTAATATTGCTAAATAACTAAGCAGTTTGATGCCACATCTCTAGTTGCTCTTTGTAAGTGCTACTGACCATGTGAAGAGCACTAATATAGAGTGTTCAGCCTTTAGCCAATTTATCATCTGTTACTTTATAAGAATAGTCTATTAGTGTTTTTAAAGGTAGCTCCCAGGTATTCCATCTTTTTCTTTAACCCATTTTTTTCTGATCTCTAGTGGTGAAAACATGTGAGTTTCACAGATGCTGCTGCCTGGATCTCCAGTACGGCTGCACCATGAAAGCTGTGCATGGAAGCACCTTATCTTTTAGTATCACTACGTTTGTACCACCAGTTTGATTTTTCCAGATTTTCAAAATTTGTATTAAGACTGGCCACAGGTACAATTATTCAGTGAAACAACACAGTCATGGATATTAGCTCCAAACACTGGTGATTTATTTATTTGGCACTGCTTTACAGAGTGTTGCAGTGATATAAGTAAAAGCTCGGGTTGTAAATCATCTGTCTATCGATGAAAAAGGAAAAAACCTTCATGGGATCCAATGAGCCTTTTCATTTGGGAAGGCCGAAATAAAATGGACCCTCAGGAACCAAGCCAAAGAATTGTCCCTTCTGCATACGATGTGGGATGGCTGATTTCTATCCTGCTCTTTATTTAGTCAAATAATTCATTGCCTTTGCCTAAACTACTGCACATTAGAGGCTATTAATATTTTGAGGTGTCAGTATTTTTAAGACAATGGACACTCTGTGCAGCTATATTTACATTATTAACTATTCCTTTGGAAGCTTGTGACCCAAGCTCCAGTATTTGCTGGTTCATTTCTATCCACCAGCTCAGGTAATTTGTGTCAGGACAGATGGAAGAGTGATAATTTCATGCTCACCAGCACATTCCATTCCTTTGAAATATCGTTTCTTGTAGATTTCCGAACAGTTATCCATTAGAGAAATGTAGCCCCACTTAAGAGTATATTGCCTTGTAAATTCTAAAGTAAAAAAAATGGGAGAAAAGACAGCTAAATCAGTACCAAATATTAATGACAAAGCGATTTCCAGTAGGCTGTCAGATCTTTACAGTGTTTAGAAAATCAAGTTGACTGAGTCGATCCAATTCTCTTTTTATGGTGAATATCAACTAATCACTTTTTTTTTTTAAATCACTTTTTTTTGCAAAACATATAGTGCATTTTGTACATACTACTAATATATGTATTTTTGCACATGCTTTTCCTTAGTACGTATCCTTTTTATTGTTGGTAAACTACCCTGCAAATTCAGCTAGGCTGCCTGTGAGTTGCCAAAAAGTACGCTACAAAGCAGCTCGCTCAGCCTCTGAAGATGCCAGCTACAGCTGTTGGCAAAACATTAGGATACCATAAAACTAGGCCACAGCCATTCAGCCCGAAAGCTCATGACTGCTTGATTGACACTGGCCATGAAAGCCTATAACAGTATATTTATACATTATCTTTGAAAGCTCTTGGGGAATGGATGAAATGCTAGAACACCAGAGGCGGCCACATGTTCTCCTTGTCTTCAAAAAGAGGAAAAGGAAGATTCATAAAAACTAGAGGTCAGTCAGTCTAACGTTAGTCATAATTAGATAGCTTTCTTAATGAAAACATAAGGGGAAGAATGCTGCTAATGTAATATATCTTGTATCCCATGAAATTACAATGAGCAAGCTAGCTAAATGTAGGCTGGAGAGAAGAACAAATAAGCACAGATAGCTGCCTTGATAATCGTATTCAAAGAATGCTTGTCAATGGTTCCTCATCAAACTGGAAAGTGGCATTGAGTGAGGTACCAAAAAGTTCAGTCCTGGGTTCTTGCTCTTCAATACTTTCACTAATAACCTAGTGAAAGGCTAATGTAGAGGGAATGGTCATCAAGATTGCAGATGACACAAATTGGGTGGAATTGTTACTACACTAGAAGGCAGAAATAAAATGTAAAATGATCTTGATAGGTTATAAAAATGGACTGACAATAATTAAATAAAATTTAGTACAGACAAATGCAAAATGAAATGCACCAATATAGGATGGAGAATGGATAGTTTGGTAATTGTACTCATGAAAAAGATATTGGAGTACTAGTTGATTGCAAATTGAATATAAAATAGCGGTATGATATGGCTGACAAGAAGACAAATAGAATTTAAGGCTGCATCAGTGGTTTCCAAATCATAGGAAAATATTCCAATTCATTCTTCCTTGCAAGTTATGTCTAGTTCCAGGGAGACTACACTTTAAGAAGAATTCAGACAAGTTTAGAAAAGGGCAGCCAGGATGGTTAACTGGCTAGAAGCTAAATTGAACTTACCAAGTCTAAGAGCAGTTTGATAATGGAACCAACTACCTAGCAAAATGATGGACCCTCCTTTGCTTGGTGTCATCAAATGGAGCCTAGACAGTAATTGGAGACTTGGTAGTTGCTAGTCAAGAGAATGAACAAATTGGCTCTGAAGGAAACAAGTTCATAATCCTACCAAATAGTAAGCACTAATTACCTTCATCAAGTCCCCAGCCAGACACTTTACACTGATGACCACCTTTGAACATATACTGTGACCAGGGAATGCATACTGGCAGAGTACGTGGTGGAGAACAAGGAGTCCCCTCATTTTTAGTTTTCATCTCCAGCAAAGCAATATCATTTTCATATGTTTTGGCATTATAGTGCTCATGTATTATTATTTGCTTTAAAGAAAATGTTTCTATCCCAGTATTGAACGTTATTGAGTTTAACATTCCAGTCCAAATCCTATAAACATGGAGACGGCTCCTCCTAGTAAAAAGAAAAAGAAAAAAAAAGGGAAAAAGAGAAATACTGTTCAAATTTGATAGAAAAAAATTTTTGGCTTACATTAGATTCTGAATTGGTTAAGAAGCAAAATGTTTTATATAATTATTTTCCACTTTTAGAGACACATTGTACCCAATTTATGGGTAGGCAGATTCTGAATAAACATTAGAGAAAAATCCCCAACAATAAGAATACTTTGATGGTGGAGCCAGTTAGCCAGAGTGAGCTCCCATTGCTTGAATGTATTCAAGTGGAGGCTATATAGCCTTCTATTAGGATTATTTAATTTGGATTCCTGTACTGAGCAGAGGAGTCAACTCAATGGCTTGAATGCCCCCTTTCAACTCCATGAATCTATGATTCAATTTTATAGCTATTTCTAACATTAATTCGAAGATTAGTTACTTATGAGGCACTAGAAGAGCACGTGATGTCCTACATGTATGGATATGTAGGTAAGTGTTTCTAGGCAGATGCTTTAAACACAAGCACCCATGTCTACATCTATACTGGTCTAATTCCACAAGTGCTATATGCTAAACTTTGAGATGGCTTTCTCATATTATCTCTATCCCACATTCAACCACAACTATCTACATAATCCAAAAGAGGAATTTGGAAGTAAATCCATACGGCAAAACCATATACCAGTCTTGTACAATGTTAACAGCTATTCCTCCCCCCACTGCCAAATGTATGTTATAAGCAAAATTTGATACTCTGTTATTGTATTTGCAGAACCAAGTGAATAATTTTATTCAAGTATGTGTCTTAAGGAAGCTTTATTATTAACAAACTTGGGGTCTTACGGTTTCAATATGTTTTATCTGAACTGTTTTTTTAGTCATCACTACAAGGAAGTTCCAGTCAGCTTAATTTACAAGTTTAATAAATTATAATAATATTCAAAGTTCCCCCTACCGAACACAGTGTGCGGCGGTCAAAATCCAACAGCCTCCGATGTACACCCCACCACAGTTCACTCTCTCCCCTTCACCTCTAATAGCCACTTGCCAAGGAAATTCATGCTATAAAAAAGGAGAAAGAGACCAAAGAAAATCATTTTCTCCATCTGGATTCTTACAGATATTACACTTTTTAAAACCAGAACTCTTTCTGATATAATTTACATACATACTCAGCTAGCTATTCCTGTTTTACCCATCAGTGGATTTACTTAATCTACTGAGTCAGCAAAGAGTGAAGAATAAATTGCAGTGCTCTAATTATTGGAGTCAACTAATTCTACTTGTGCTGCCCATTCAGGCTGTCTACCTTATAACCAGAGAAAGAGAGAAGAGAGAAATATAGAAAGCACGAACATAAAGATGAAAACTATAACTTGAAAACTAACTTCTCATTTTTATTGCCCAGATTTCACCCTTTCCATGGACTCTTATATTATTGTATCCATATTTACACATCTTTCATGACTACAATATCTATGCATTCTTATAAACATTATAGTTTTGCCAGTATTTATTTACCAGTTCTGCAGTAAATCCACCTACGATTCTCTTCCGACGAGTATTCGTGTAGTTTGAAATGCCACAGGATAGTACGGGGAAGTAAGTCTTTATCTTTTTTCTTTCTTTAATAAAACATTTAAACAGTGTCATAATAGTCATAGACTCAGGTTTTTTAAAGCCTTGATTATTAAAGATTTAATCTTAACTATTTCTATAATTGCCTTAATTTTAGAGAATAATCCCAGATGTCCACTGATGAATCGTTCCTACTAAGCTGAGTGGGCATTACTTTCAGACAACTTGGTATTGCTACGCAGACTTTTAGTGCAATTTTACACATACAGTATTCATTTAGAAATCAATGTGCACAAGCACTGTGCCACACATTAGTTCCATGTTTCCCAGCTATCCTTTTGCAGTACTATAAACCTTCAGGTAGTGACAGAACAGAACACACCTCCACATTTTACCTTTCTACTCTGATATTTTTACCTTTTACCTTTCCCTCCCTTTATGTAGTAGCACTGTAGTATATTTTCTTTCTCTGTGCTTTCCAGAGAGCACACTGGAAATGCATGGCATCTTTGCATGTCAGCTTATTTACAATGTGGAGGACAAGGCAGGCAAACACATTCTTAAAAGAAGTAGAAGAATTGATCATTCACATCAGAATTCCAAAGTTACGACTTCATCTTGAGGGGCTTCACTTAATGTCAAATTGACTCTGTTTCTAAATTAAAATGATAAAAATCCTATTTTGTGTGGGGGCCTCCTTTCTTTTCTGCTCCTTCTTTCTTGATGTTTGATTTCCTATATTCCAAAAACTAAAGCCAATGTACAACTCATTTGTTAAATTCCTAGTTATAATAACTCAGGAAAATTAAATTAGTAAGATTCTAATGATAACTGTAAAATTTGAACTGTTATGTTCAGAGCTACTTTAGAAATGGATACTTCAGTTTAGGCAACTGCTTTAAATTCAACTGATGTATACAACCATATTGGAAAATTATCACATCCCAGAGTTTCAAAAATGTGAAAAAAGAGCAGATTCTTTTTTAAAAATGGAGGTTTTATACTCATTTATCACATTTACCTTCATCCATGGATTCTATCACATGATTTGCTTCTTCTGCAGGAAAACAAAAATTTACAATTAATTTGAAATTGTTGTAACAGAAATTGTAATTCAATTGTTTTAATTGAACAATTGCTTGTTAACATTTGACTGTTCCCTATATTTGGCTAACCCCAGAAGTTAAGTTTTTTAATGAGAAATGGAGCTTTGCTTTTGGGAGAAAAGCAGGTGATTGTTGCTAGGACTACAGCAGAGTATCATATAATTAAATATCTCATTGTATAGTATGTCCCAACAAATTGAGTACCTCCTTTCAGCCCCTATTACTTTTTCAGCATTACAGGTACTTTGGTTCTAAGATGCCTTCACTCACGTTCAGCCAAACTGCCTGAGAGTCCAAGGTGAACAGTAAAGAAGAGCATATGGATCCAATGCAGACATTGTTTCTGCCTAGCTACTGATCTGCTCACCCTTAAAGAACAGGAAGTATAAATGCAATCCCCAAGTTAACTTTGTAAAGCAGACAACGAAAGAGCCACAAAATAATAGAACTCTGTTTTTAATAAGGAAACAGTATCTATACAGCCTACGTATACTTTTATCCATGGTCAAATTTACCTTTGTTGCGTAATATTCTTTCTTCTTCTTCTGATCCTCCTGAAGTAGAATAAAATTTAACATTTAGCTGAAATTCTTATTATTTATTTTTAAAACTTATTTATTTAAAACAAAAGTATAATTTCAAAAGATATAATATTGATAAGTGGACAAAAAAAGTTACATACAATTAATGCTCAGTATGACATTAATAAAAGTCTAAGAGTCCAAGGTGAATGGTGAAGAAGAGCATACCGGCCCAATGCAGACATTGTTTCTAACTAGCTACTGATCCGCTCACCTTTAAAACACGGGAAGCATAAATGCAATCCCCAAGTTTACCTTGTAAAGCAGACAACGAAAGAGCCACAAAATAATAGAACTCTGTTATTAATAAGGAAACAGTACCTATATAGCCTATGTATACTTTTATCCATGGTCAAATTTACCTTTGTTGCCTCCTTTTCTTCCTCTTCCTTTTGTTTCTTCTGCAGTAGAATAATATTTAACATTTAACTGAAATTCTCATAATTTATTTTTTAAAACGCATTTATTTAAAACACAAGTATAATTTCAAAAGGTATAATATTGATAAGTGGACAAAGAAAATTACTATACAATTAATGCTCAGTGTGACGTTAATAGAAGATTAACCATATATGACAAAGTACATTGAATTATTTTTTATGGTATAAAAAGAATTTGTTTATTTTATTTATTATTAAATTTGTATAAATTATTAAATTTGTATGAATTATTAAATTTGTATGTATAAAAAGAATATGAATCTTTGAGCTTAATGCCAAAATCTTCACTGTGTTGACATCTGTAAATGCTAAAAAAAGAAGAAAAAAAGAAAAGAAAAAAGAAAAGAAAAACCCTACTAAAAATAATATTGATAAGTATTTGGTTTCTGACTTCCCCCTTCTTTGCCCTCCAACTGATTTACAGTGTTTATAAACATAAACAATAGAAACCATACTCTAAATGTTTGTATTTGCCTTGCTGCATGATGTATATACGGAAGCCATTCTTGCTTACGTTTAGTTAAAATTCTATTATGGATATAGACTGTTAGTTTCACCATTCCTGCATATTCTCCAGGTTTAGGTTCCCAATCAGATATCATCAGTACTGTATCATTTTTCCAATGTTGTGGAAAGTTTGTCCTCACAGCCGTGAGCATGTATCATAGTAAGTTATGGTATTTTTTTACTGATAAATACTGGGATTATACCTAGGTTTTGAATTTGATTTCTAAGATTCTCTGAATAGTGCTGTGTATGTCTTTCCAATACTTTTGGGTATTTTTACATATCTACCACATGTAGCAGAATGTTCCTTCTGTCTCATGGCATTTCCACCATACATTACTATATGATTTGTTTATCTTGGCAATTATTAATGAAGTTGAATACCATCTGTAAAACATTTTGTACCAGTTTTTACCTAAGTTATGACTTAGGGTAAATTTGATGGATTTGTTCCATAATTCTTCATGTTGTTGTATTGGGACTGTTTCTTTAAAATTTTGCATCTAATTTATCATACATTTAAAAAATGTATTCTATCTCTGTATCATATCTAACTAGAACTTTATATATTCGCCCTAATAGGTAGTTTTGATTCTGTATGAGCATTTCAAATTCTGTCATTTTTCTTAGTGTCTGTCCTGGTTTTTAAGATCAGATTTGTAGGTAGATCAACCATGGTATGTTCTGGCCTTCACCAAATTCTTGCTGTGTTTTTAATCTATTCATATTATCTGGGTGGACTATGTCTGCATATGTAATTATACTGTACCTTTCTTGCTAAAATTATCTCCAACATTAAGAGGCAAAAGTACTATAATATAGAGATTTCTGAAAGTACCATATAGCACCAATCCTCCAGTGATTCCCAGACAAAGCAAATTAGTTCTATACTAAACTATTATTAGACAGCACCCAAGGCATAACAAAGAGAGTTGCCACCTATTGCCAGGTGGCGGTGAAGACACAACATCAGCTGACCCCCACAAATAATTTTAATTTTGTTCTGTAACTTATATTTTATATTTTAATTTACTGATTGATGATTATAATAAAATATATATTTTTAAGAGTTGAGGCCAATGATGAACTTGTTGGACTTTTTATTTTTCTCATGGAGTTCCATACTTTCATTAAGCTTTGTCTTATAATGTGTCCTTTTAGGTTTCTGCCCTCTTTTGTATCCTGTACCATAACTATTATGGTATTTCCAGTGCTGATGTTCTACTGTTTGGGAATTCTATCTACTCTGTTAAATATGCCAAACAGTTTGCCCTATAGCAGTGTTTCTTAAACATTTTGCTCTCAGGATCCCTTCCCACTTTTAAAAATTATGGAGAACCCCAAAAGAGCTTTTGTTTGTATTGGCTATATTTATCAATATTTACTGTACTAAACATTAAAATTGAAGCATTCATAGAACAT